TGTGGTCCAAGTCAAAGAAAATAAGATTATAATGGTTCACATTGATTCATATACTGCGATATTTATCTAACTTGAATACTTTCGCATAAATAAATAGGATCAAACAATAGACTTTCTAAATAGAATGTATAGTGTTATTATTAAATGAAAGTATACTCACGTGTAAAATATTAAGTTAGTTAATGATAGATTATAAATACATATATCACAAGTATGTATGTTTAGTTATTCTATTAGTACCTAAAAACTTTTTGTGAGTTTAAATTATTACGTTGGTTATTAATTTAAACATTAAACTATATTTTTTTGTGATGAGGACTTAATTATTTTAAATTTCATACGTTGGTTTTATTTCAAAGCAAAAACGCAATATAATAGCGATCAGTTCAAACCAATTCTTAAAACGCTTCCGCTTATAACTTGAATAGTCACACCGTTTGTACATTCAGTCAGTCAGTGTTCCGATAAGCAACGTGTAAAGTGTGTGTATTTAAACAGTGAGAAACAAAATAATTTATTAGATTCCAATTATCATTTAGATGTTACCTAGCTAGTTAGGGGTTATTGGTATTACTTTTTAACTATATTGGGTGAGGAGACACGAACCAATCGGGTACAGAAAAAATCTAGAAGTCAAGATGGTAACTCCGAAGCAAACTGCACTGAATTTTTATTCAGGGAGACCATGAGCCAATCGGGTCGAGACTTCATAGAACTAAAACAAATATGATACTCCAGTGGCAACTCCGAGGCAATCGGCACTGAATTTTTATTCAGGGAGACCACGAGCCAAACTGGATGGAGTATATAATTTCTGATTTTGATTTTACTACTAAAATTATGATACTCTAGTGGCAACTCCGAGGCAATCGGCACTGAATTTTTATTCAGGGAGACCACGAGCCAAACTGGATAGAGAATATAATTTTACTACCATAATTTCCGGGTGTTAACTGACGCAAGCTGCTCATCCATAAAGTTATAAAAGTATACCGTAGTCCTATCGCTAAATATTTAATATGTATGTTCATTGCGTTAGGCATATTAAAGGAATCTAATGAATGTTTACGTTTCAGTCAGTGTAGTGAAAAAATGTGATCAATCTCGCTGCCATGGTCACCAGGTTAGTCGATTATCCATTCAATAAAACTTGAATTAAAAAGCGTGAATAGCATCAATTCTCTAATAAATTCTAATAGTGAATCCATTTATAATATTGGGCATTCTGTCATTCCACGAGTGAGTGGTGGCGAAACGCCGACACGAATGAGTGGGGGACAGAATGCCCAATATTACCCTACTATTAATAATATTATACTTGAAAACCAAAAAAGAGATCAATGGGTACGTAGATCAAATATTGAGATAATAGGTGTTCCGGAAAAACCTCATTGATATCACCAAGAAACTAGCTGCCGCTTGTAATTTCCCCTTAAATCAGACGGACATAGACTTTGCTACTAGAATTGCGACGACCAGAGATATAAAAAACCAAAAACCAAGACCAATAATAATAAAATTGCAAGCTCGATATAGAAAGGATGACTTTCTAACATTATTGCGGAAAAAAAACCCTAATTGCTAACGATATAGGGTATGAGGGAAATCAAGGAAAGATTTATACAAACGATCACTTATCTACATTCAATAAGTATCTATTGAAACAAACAAAACATAAATGCAGGGAATTTAATTATGAATTTTGCTGGGTGCGCAACTGCACTATTAGAGTTCGTAAATCTCCCACGTCACCGGTTTTCATCATTTCAACGGAAGAGGATTTACACAAAATAAAATAGATATTAGCCAGCAATATATTATAATACCATATTTAACTTTCATGAGCTTGTTTTTTCTATGCAAAAAGTCTGGATACGATGCGGGCCTCAAGTTGATGAACCCTGAAACAACTTTTGCACGTCAACCGGATGCATCACTGACTTGCTTCTGTGTTGTGAATCGCTTAGTATTGAGGAAGGACTGCATTGATGCTTTGTATGGCGACTGTCTCACGTTGTTACCGTTAAAGTACGCAATCTATACAATACAGAGCAAGTTTAGATATCTTGTTCTTGTGGCAGCGATACTGCATATTTATCTACTTTTCATTATTCTATTACCTACAAAAATGAATATTAATATTTTGCAACGCAAACTATTGCTTCCAATGCGTATAGGCTATCTTGTTTTTTTCGAAATGTTATGCTTTATGGTTGTTTTTACGAGAATACATTTTCGTCAAACAATTAACATTGCTTTTGTACGAATTGATTTTTTGTTTTTATTGAGAAGATACTCGGATCGAGGTGTGTACACGCAACGTGTGTTATTGAATATGTTTGATTACCTGAACTTTTTTATAGTTTATTTTGCTTTATTTTTGTCAAATAAATTGTGATCTATTGTTAAAAATACCTAATGCAAATAGTATAACCTTTTTAAAATTAATCGTAACATTAATTGTATCTCAATATGGGTTCGTATTGAACTTTATATACACTAATGGCTACTTGATTAGAATTATCAGTTATTATATATATCCTAAAAAGGCCTTAACTTAAATTATAATAATATATACTATCAGAACGTTCGCGGGTTGCGAACTAAAACCCACACTTTTTTTCATAATCTTTTATTATCAGATTTCGATTTAGTATTTTTGACGGAAACCTGGCTATTACCGAGCCTGTACGATCGGGAATTATTTGATAATAGATACAGTGTTTATCGAGCCGATCGCGACTATCAAAGATGTGGAATGAGCTTGGGAGGCGGTGTTCTTATTGCCGTTAGGAAGGGGTTGATGGTGGAGTCTTGTCCTCTTACCACTATTTCTCTCCCTGGCTGCTTGGATGGAGAGATTGTGTCCGTGACCTTGACACCACACTCGTTAAATGGTAAAAAGATAAGAATGTTTTGATGCTATTTTCCACACGGTACTAATCAAACGACATCCCAGTTACGCTTTTTTGAATACCTATCAGATATTAATATCCAATACCCCGACGACAAAATCATTATCATGGGTGATTTTAATATAACGAAAGCCCAATGGGTACAAGATCAAACGTCAACTAAAGGTATAATGCTATTAAAAAATAATTTAGAAAATTCACTAATAAGTAACATTGGGGCGTTTACAAGTTTTACGGGATTGCAACAATTTAATTGCTGTTATAATTTTAATAATAGAATGTTGGACTTGGTTTTGTCTGATTGTGATTGTAAGGTTACAAAGTGTACTAACCCCCTTGTACCCGAAGATGCACATCACCCGGCTTTACATATATGGTTGTCAATGTTTTCCAATGAACGAAGATTACAAACTCGACCTCGGATGGTACGTTTGTTTCATTCTGCTGATTATGTTCAGATTAACTCTGACTTTTCAGCAATAAACTGGGAAGACGATTTCGATGGCCTTGACATAGAGGCAGCTGTTCAGAAATTTTATATTAATGTCAACAGTATAATTGAACGACGAGTCCCAACCATCATTAGGTGGGAGAGTGAAAGACATCCACAATGGTATAATTATACTCTCATTAAAATAATTAAAAAAAGCTTAAAGCTCACAAAAAATGGAAGATTTATAGTAATTTATCAGCTTACGAAGAATTTTCTTATCTTCGACGTGAGCAGAAATTGTTGGAGAAGCAATGCTATGATAACTTTATCACAAACGCTGAACATCGAATTAATATTAATTCTAAATATTTCTGGTCCTACATTAAATCAAAAAGAAATGGTAATGATATTCCCGATACTGTCTACTTTAACAACCAAGTCGCATCTGCTGGTCGGGACATTGCGCACTTATTCAATACCTATTTTTATTCAGTCTTTGAACCTCCAACTGATATCTCAACTGTCGGTCATCAGCCTCATAATGATGCCCCTACACTATTAAGTTCGATAAAATTATCACAACGATCTGTATTAAAACGACTCCGTTCCCTAGACATCACAAAGGGCAGTGGTCCCGACGGTCTTCACCCTGTATTCTTAAAAAAATGTTGTAAATCGTTAAGCCTTCCAATCACAATGCTTTTTAACAAATCCTTAGAACAAAATAAAATTCCTAAAAACTGGAAGTCTTCCTTTATTGTACCAATATTAAAGAGTGGCGATAAACATAATGTAGAAAATTATCGTGGCATCTCAAAGCTTTCTATAGTTCCTAAGCTTTTTGAAAAACTAGTATACGACATTCTTTTTCCTTCAATTAGACCGTTTTTAACGAATAATCAACATGGCTTTGTTACTGGCCGTTCTACAGAAAGTAATTTATTGGAGTTTGTTGACGTCATTTATGGGGCAATGGAGGATGGATACCAGGTGGATGCCGTGTATACCGATTATTCCAAAGCTTTTGATAAAATATCGCATAATCTACTTATAAACAAGCTAATGAATATCGGTATTCACGGTGATCTTCTAAGGTGGTTGTCCTCGTATCTCAGAGATAGAAGTCAAGCAGTGACAGTCAAGGGGTTTATATCCTCTTTCTTACCCACAACGTCTGGTGTCCCCCAAGGCTCCCACCTCGGTCCCTTATTGTTCAATATCTACATAAATGATGTCTTGAGTAGCATTCATCACTCTAATCTGTTATTGTACGCGGACGATAAGAAAATTTTTAAAATTATTAGAACTCCCTCAGATTGTTTGGAGTTGCAAAAGGACTTGGATTCTTTATGTACTTATTGTGCTGATAATAATCTTTATCTGAATATAGATAAATGTTGTACTGTATCATTTAACAGGAAAAAGAAACCATTCAATTACGCCTATAAACTTAATATGAAAACACTAAAACGGGTTGACGAGGTCAGAGATTTAGGTGTTTTACTAGACAATAAATTATCTTTTGTACCTCACATAGAATACGTAACAAAGAAGGGTCACAAAATGCTAGGTTTCGTCCTAAGACAGAGCCGTGTATTTGTGAGAGAAGTAACGTACCGCACTCTTTTTAACTCATTGGTTCGGCCTTTACTTGAATACGCATCTACAGTATGGAATCCTGATTACAAAGTACATAAAGGTACTGTAGAAAGGATCCAAAATAAATTTTTGAAGGTCTACAACATTAAATTTGGGAAAAATGATAATGTCACTTTTGAGTCCCTTGAATTGCGTAGATCACATCGAGATCAGATTTTTCTTTATAAACTTTTAAATAATAATATCGATTCCCCTTATCTGCTACAAAAGATACATTTTAGATGTCCAATACTGAGTTCCAGAAACAGGTGCCTATACGCGTTACCATTATGTAAGACGAATTATGCAAGAAATAATTTTTTGGTTCGTGCATGTCGTTGCTACAATGATAGATATTTGGATTTCGACTTATTCAACATGTCTATTAATATGTATAAAAAGTCTATTAAGCAAATTAAATAACAAATTGAATTGCATTTCAGATATCACTATTGTGGGCTCTTGTTGCCCTTTTTTTATTCTCTTTTTAGATTCGTAAACATTAATTCATTAAGTAATTGTAGAAACTTTATTGGCCATTGTATTATTTATTTTTTTGTAATAATCTATTGGTAAGATTATGTGCTGTATGTTTCTCATAACGTAATAATAAATAAAAAAATAAATAAAAATAAATTGTATATGAATAGGCAAAAGCCCTGAAACATGAAGACGAAAAAACATTTAACATGATGAAATAATGGATGAAACAACTGGATGAAATTTTATGAGCGGAATCGATTAATTGAATTTCAGTGCTGCCAAAACAAAATATATTAATATAAAAAATGTTTTATGTGGCTGAAGAAGGTATGCATTGTTTGCAAGGTCTCATCAAGTACCACATGTATTATGACATTTTTACAGTTGTCGCATTTTAAATCCCCCAACATGTTTATTCGTAATTAATCACTAGCCGACAATGGTTTTTGCTCTGAAATAAAACTTATATATTTGGTTCCTATTAGTAAGTATATTCTTAGAAAAATACTGAAAAAAATTCCTCAGGTCCTATTACGAAAATATGTTTTTTTTTTAAATGACCAAAAAACGACCAGTTGACCACTTTAAAAATTGTTTTCTTCTCATTAACTTATCGCATATCGCAACTAACTGTTATTTATTCCTCCTATAGGTGTTCTGAATTAAACTACCCACATTCTGATTAATAACTACGTCAGCTGTTATTTTGGTTAGGTAAAAGTACCGTCAATTACTGATATATTTTGACACTTTGCATTTACGTCGTTAACTCGTACACATCTCAATTTTTTTCCTTGTTTTTACATTAAATTGTTTAAGACAATGCCCAGGAAGTGTAAAAATTCGCCAGATTTATTTTGTTTTATATGCGGAGACTTTAATCCACGCTCAAGTTCTAAAAAGTTTTCGCCACGACTGTTGGAAGCATATCGTTTGCACTTTGGATTTGGCGCTGAAGAAAGTCTAAGTAAACCTTGGAGTCCGAGTTTATTGTGTTCAAGATGTTCAAGGTACCTCGCAGGATGGCTTCAAGGTACTCACACACCATTGCCGTTTACTATGCCAGCTATATGGCGATAAAAAAAAAATCATGTAAATGATTGTTATTTTTGTCAAACTAACATTACTGAAATGAAGTCGAAGTTTAAAAATATTATAAAGTACCCCGATGTATCGTCTATGTCAAAACCGGATACCCTACAAACTCCAACGACCTAAACTTCTGACGAACCGTCAACTTCATGTGGTAGTCGTGGCTTAGAAAGTCATGTTGATGTTTGTGCTTCCGATCACGCTGATTTGACGACGATGACTATGAGCCACCAACAAGATCAACAACAGAGCCACATCTGATAACTCAAAGTGAACTAAATGATCTGATTCGTGACCTTGATTTACCAAAAGAGAAATCAGAACTTTTAGCTTCTAGACTAAATTAATGGAATTTATTGCGTCCGGAGACAAGAATCTGTAGTTATCGAAAACGACATAGTAGTGTTGTGGATTTCTTTGAAAAG